AATCTGGTGCAATGTCACTTTGGAAAGTGGCTTCATTTCATTTCTGGTTGATTCCCTTTATTAGAGTTAGAACTTTTTTTTTTTTTAAGGAAAAACAATCTTTAGTATCTAATGGCCTTTATAATAATTAAAAAACCCAGTCCTATGTTTGTCATTGGCATTAGCATCTTTCTATAGCTCCTAATTCTCCATTATGGCACCAATGTGTACAAAAAGTGAATTATGGTTATTTGGCTCATGCAACAAATTAATTTGAGAAACTGACTGCACATATCCTTTGAGGAAAAACTACAGGGTCTTGCCCCATGCTATCACATTTTACTAACCATTTAGTCATGTAGGCATTATAAAAAAGCTTTAATTTAGGATGCCCTTGATGCCTTAAAATTAGGTCAAATGTACAACAACTTACTTTATGCAAAAGAAATAGATTCTAATTTATTTGTTACTATAATTGTAATGCATTACTTAAGGCTCTATGTAAATAATTGATTGATGGTAGGAGTGTTAGTTTTTTTCTATATTTTCCAAGCTACTAGTTTTGTTTTTATAAAAGCCTTAAAATTTAGTACTGAAAAAAAAATCAATGGAAACAACTCCTATTGACATGGGGGGGGGGGAGTCTACCTTTGGGTCTAATTTCCTTCCCAGGTGAATCTACAGGTAGCATAACTAACTGCAGCTATCACGGCACGGGGAGAACACACGTAGGAAATATGCATGTCAGCTTCAGCAACAATGAATTCATGTGTACATACATTACCATAGGTAGACAAGCCCCTTATAATACTTAAAACACAAACTGATCTATAAATATTTGATTTTTAAATAATCTTTAAATTGCTTGTGGTCTAGGGCCGGCCCGGTGGCGCACTGGAGAGTGTGCCGCTTGGGAGTGCGGCGGCGCTCCCGCCGAGGGTTTGGATCCCATGTGGAGACCGGTTCCCGCTCACTGGCTGAGCGCGGTGCGGGTGCAACACCGAGGGTTGCGATCCCGTTGCCAGTCCCCGGTACGGGCACGACACCAAGGGTTGCGATCCCGTTACCAGTCAGTAAAAAAGACAAAAAGGAAAAAAAAAA